GGGGGGGGGGGGGGGAGAAGGGCGTCTCTCTAAGGTGTCCATCCCATCGCAGCCGCGGGCAGGGAGGCGGAGAGGCGGCGGAGCACAGGCGCCTACGCCTGGTCCTCATCGCCGGGAGCCGCCGCCGCCGCCGCCGCCGGCTTCTTGTCAGCCTGGGACTTGTTCCCATCCTTGGACTTCTTGGCCTCCTTGGGCTTCTTGGCGTCCTTGGACTTCTTTTCGGTGCGCTTGCGCAGGGTCTTCTGCGAGCGAGTCACCTCGTCGGGCAGCGTGCCGCGCAGGGACTTCAGCAGACCCTGCTCCTTGAGACGCTTGCGCATCTGCTCGCGGAACTCCCGCACCCGCTGGGCCTTGGTGGCCTTGCGCGCGTCGCGCCGGGCCACCGACTCGTGGCGGTACGGGGCCATCTTCTTCAGGGAAATGTGCGCGTTCAGCTCCCGGTCGTCGGCATACAGGATCTCCTCCATGGTGAGGCCGAAGGTCTGCGGCTCGACCTTGCGGTACTTGAAGCGCGTCGGCAGGTCCCCGACAAGGTCCTCGTAGTTCAGGTTGTAATACTCGTCCACCAGGTTGTCGATGTGCGACGCGGCCTGGGGATCGGCCACATTCTTGCGCGCGGCCTCGTATTGCTCGACTGTGTGCATGTGTTAGTGGCGGGCGGGCGGGCGGGTCGAGCCGAGGGCACGCACTTTGCGAGTCGAGCGACTCGGCGCTGGCCTGCTGCTGCTGCTTCTTGAGCTTCTTCTTGGCCTTCTTGGACAGGGGCGCCGCTTCGGCCGCGTCGCCCATGCCGAAGTCCGCGTCCATGTTGAAGGGGGCACCCTGTGCGCAGGTCCAGCAGGGGAGGGGGCAGAGGAAGGTGAGCAACGGGATGGCGAGGCACACGACAGAGGCACCGGTGTCAGCAAGGGGGGGGGGAGGGGGGGGAGGGGGAACCGCTCATCCAATGTGTGCGCATCGGCGCGACCGTACATAGTCCTCCTCCTCGTCGGCGGCGGCAGCCGTGCGGGGGCGCTTGCTGGCCTGGGTGCCGGCTTCCGGATCGTCGTAATTGAAGTCGTCCAGGAAGGCGGTCTCGTCATCGTCGAAGACCGGCTTCTCGAAGAGCGCCTCGTCGCCCTCGGCATTGCTCGGATCGTAGTAGTTCTCGTCGAACATCTGGGACATCTTCCGGTCGTACTCCTCCGGGTCGAAGTCCTTCTCCAGGTCGATCTCCTCGAAGCCGGACACTGCACATGGGCCGAGCAAGAGGAAGGGGGGGGGGATGGCAGGGATGGCGGGGGGGGGGGGAGGAAGTAGGAGAGAGAAGGAGGAAATAGGAGGAAGAGGGAGCAAGGAGGAAATAGGAGGAAGAGGGAGCAAGAAGAAAGGAGGAAGGGAGTAAGAGGAAAGGAGGAAGGGAGTAAGAGGAAAGGAGGAAGGGAGTAAGAGGAAAGGAGGAAGGGAGTAAGAGGAAAGGAGGAAGGGAGTAAGAGGAAAGGAGAAAGAGGGGGCAAGAAGAAAGGAGGAACAAGAAGAAAGGAGGAAGGGAGTAAGAATCAGACACAGGCCGCCGGGGGTGCAACGGAGCGAAGGAAACAGCAAGCCCCAGCCCGGCGCGACACCGCACGCACCCTTGGCCCCGGAGATGGCCTGGATCTTCTGCAGCTTCTCCAGGATGTCCTTCTGCTTGAGGAGCTTGAGGCGCTCCAGCTCGCGGCGCTTCTCCTCCTTCTCGGCGGCCTTGCGCTCCTTCTGGGACTCGCGCTGGCGCTTGCGCTTGCTCTCGGTCCGACGAACGCTGCCCTCCAACTGGCGCGGATGGCTGACAATGTCGCTGGCACCCTCCTCCTGGAAGCGGAAGTTGTACTGGCTCTCGAAGTTGTCCTGGCGGTCGAGCTCCTCCTCGTCATCGGTGCCCACCACCTCGTCATAGGTGGGCGGCTCGTTGGAGGCCCCATCCCGATCGAGCCACTTCTTGTTGGTGATGAAGTCCCGCAGGAAGCGCTCCTCCTGCGTGAGGTTGGGGTCGGTCCAATACCGGCGCAGGGTTTCCATCTCGTCGACCTTGCGCTTGGCGGCCTTCTCCTCCTCGGCCTGCATGAACTGGGCGAAGTCCGCCTCCTCGGCCTCCAGCTCGGTCTGGCTCTTGGCCCGGCGCCGGAACATGTCGAAGTCCTGGCCCTCCTCCTCGGCGAGATCGGCCTGCGCCGTGCGCAGGAACGCCTCGCGCAGGTCCGCCTGCTCCTGGACGAAGGTCCGGGGGGCCGGCTCCGCCTCCTGCTGCTCCTCCTCCTCGTCCTTGGCATACTCGCCGGAGAGGAGCTTCTTCATGTTGTAATCGCCGATGGTCATGGGCTTGTACTGGGGGTCACGTTGCGTGCACATTGTGGTGGCGGCACCGGGTCAGGTCAGTCGCGTGTCGGTGTGGGCATGTGTGCGTGCGTGTTGCGGGGTGTGCGCATCCGGCGCGCCGGGTGCCCCCGGTCGAAGGGCACCCCCCCCCCCCCCCCTCCCTCTGCCCGAAGGGCCGAGCCGGCCCAATGCTCGGCCCATCGCCCCGGTGGCACGCACCTGGTTGTTCTTCTTCTCCTCCCAGGCCGCGCGGGCAGACTCGATGGCGCCGCCCTCGAAGAAGTCCACCTTCGAGTCGTACACCCGCGGGTCGCGGGCCTTGATCAGGGAAATGGTCCGCAGGATGTCCTTCTCCACGGCCGGGGTCATGAGGGCGCCGTCCTCGTCCTCCACCTCGGAGTCGGAGTCCTCGTCGCTGGAGAACATGGATGTCTTGGCTGGAAAGGGGGGTCAGGAGGGAGGGGAGAGGGGCAGGAGGGGGCGGGAGAGCCGGAGGGGCAGCACGCACCACGGGACAGGACCTCGCGGGTCTTGCGTTCCTCGTAGTTGCTGGCGAACTTCTTGTTCACATTGATGGTGAAGAGCGAGTCGTCCGCGTCTCCCTCATCGAAGAGGGCGGCCTTCTTGGACATGGTTTCTTTTCTCGCGGACTATGCGGGCGTCTGGGCGGGCGGGGCTTGCGGGCGGGGACGGGCGATGCCGAGGGGCACAACGAGACACAGGGCTGGGGGGAGGGGTGGCGTGCGTGCGTCTGTGCGATTCGGGGGTAGGTGCGGGGTGGGGGGTGGGGGGTGGGGGACTGTGTGTTGGTGTCGCGGGTCGGGGGCGCGCCGGCGGCCGGACAGCCGCGCCTGAAAAAACCCCGCCCGCCGGCGGCCAG